ATGTGAGGCCGATGTATGTTGCTTCCTCCATAATGGCGAAGTTTTAGTTCTGGAAACAAGTAAATGATAGTTTAAAAAATATCGCGACGAAACCAATTGTTTTAATTTACTGGGATAGCTTAGGTATCCCAGGAAGTGAAGTGGTAAGTTAAGCAAATGCTGAATGATAAAATTAATACTATGTAAAGAAAAATATATGAAAATTAAAGGAAGGAAAGAGAGACATTTCTTATTGAGAAAACGACTAATGAAAGTAAGAAAAACAAATAAATAAAAAAAAAAACGAATGATACGGTTACACTGAATATTATTCATAACACGATCTCTTTCTGTTTGAAAACATTGTTTACTTTTGCKGCAACAGTAATTTCCTTAGATATGCCGTACGTCAATTTATCGCCGTATACTTAAGGTCACTTTACTTTCTTCATTTTTCATTTTGAAATTTATTCTGCTTATCTAATTAACACCTTCGTTCACCATTAAACAAAGAAAAATATATTTTTTTGGTTTCCACTTTACGCTATCGATTCCAACGAAATCTAAAGTAAATTGGCGGAATTATACAGTGAAAACTTATGAGAAAGAGTAAAAARTCAAGATTATCAATGTATGAAAAACGAAAATAATAGAATTGAATGAAGTTTGAAAATTTGTTCATATTTCTAACAAGTTTTATTTTAAAAGCATTTGAAATTTTATGATATCTGTGCCGTGTCATTTCAGATACTAATAAATTAAGAAGATGTTCAAAACATTTGTAAAAAGAAGCATTTTTTTTCAAAACGAATAAAAATAATTTTCCTTACCTATATGTGYTTAAACTTGATTTAGTTTGAAAATTAACCAATTCAGTATTATTATTAATGTTATCAATTTGAAAATTAACTTACGATTGAAAGATGGTGTATTTTGGTCCTGGGTTTTTCCCGCGCTTTTGTGCGACAACGCGTTCGAGTTTGTATGAAAGAACAATGGAAAAGAAAAAAGACCTTTTTTGTTGTCGAAGGGGAAGTTCATCAAGACTTCGCTTTCCGCAGAGAACAGGACACATGTTCTTATTACGACTTACACAAACGTGCCGAGTTGAGTAATARCTTAATGAATGTTGAGGAATAAGATGGCTTACTATTGGTCGAATCGATGGACCTCTCAATCATTGGCGGGATAATATTGACCAAAAAATGTCCAAGCAAAGAGCACCTGTTTCTTATGTGCTCTTGCTCCTAACTTTTATGAAATGTTCACGKATCATACACAAAACGTTTGCAGGTTTTTATTTTTTATGTAAATAGTAGAGCACCGGTTTCTTATGTGCTCTTGCTCCTAACTTTTATGAAATGTTCACAAAAACGAATGCGTTTACCACTCCTAGGTGGACGGCTTAATGCCTAACAGGCCTTGCGACTCAATTGATAAGGCAGCTGGTAGATCGAATTAGAATTTAGAAGTCGATTTTTGTGGAGGGAGGAAAAACCGGAGAACCCAGAGGAAAAACCCTCGAAGCACAGAAGAGAACCAACAAACAACTCTACTCACATACGACACCGAGACCGGGGAAGCTCAACCCKRGTCGCATTGTTGAAAGGCGGCGCATTAGCAGCGCACGCCACCCGTGCTTCACGGCTAAATACATTAAACGTTTACAGGGTTTATTATTGTAATTCAACAGGACAAGAAACTATAAAACTTTAAAACATTGTCTTTTTTTCTGCGAGCAGAGTTATGGAGTATTTTAGYTAAATTATCGAGTTTATGGGAAGGCGAAGCAACGGTAACCAAGGGCTCTATCTTTTGTTGGTTTAATTTAATGGCTTCCGAAACGCTATAAATTTTTCCTGGACTGATCTAAGTCAGGGCACGGCTATATCTCACGGGTCAAACCTTGAAACAACCTCTGAGGTGATCTAAGTCAGGGCATGGCTAACTCACTGGATGGAACCCTGAAAACAACCTCTGGGCGGATCTAAGTCAGGGCACGGCTAGCCAACTGTATTTAAATAAATAAGAATCTAAAATTCAGACGATTATGTGAGGTTAGGTGTAGATGAAGGGATGGGAGGAAAAATGACGAAGAAAAGTTGCACGTACTGATAAATAAAAATATTTAAAGTCATAAGTACTAACCTGACAAATTCAGCCTATTTTCCTTTGTCTTGGGTGCTTTGTTGTCTATTTAATGAGACACATTAGTTTCCGCGTCTTTATCCGGTGAGAGAATTGGAGAATTTAAAAAAGAAAAGTACACTTTTTAAGTGCGCATGTCAAACATACGGGTACCGCGACACTCAAATGGCTTCCTTACTTTTAAAAGCACGCTGATTGGATGTTGTCTTTGTATATGTGTTTTGATTGGCTCACTGAAGGCGGAATACCGTTTGAAGTAACTTTGCTTTACCGTTCCAAAAAAATATATTTTCCATGCAATCATTTTACAAATGAAAAAGAAATCATATAGAAGATAAAAAATCCYATGTAAATATTTTGATTTACTCTTGAGGAGAAAATTAATAATTTATACAGCAAAAAATATCCGACAATATCGACAATAAGAAAACACTCTGKGCGKAGACGCAAAACACAACCGGCAAAACAGCCAATCACAGCACAAACCGACCTACCAATCACAGCACAGTTTTCGACGAGTGCTTTAAGACTGACGCACCAAAGATTGTACACCATCGCCTGATGAATAGTAGCMGTTTGTAGTCGAACTCCACGAAGAAAAATATTTTTCATTTTGACATTCCGTTGGTTCATGAAACAGTTAATATATGCCTTTAATTTCGCTGGCTGACAACAATATTATGCTTTAAATATAGACACTTTTTAATTGGCTAAATACWGTTGTTATAGATTAAGCATAGTAAATATATTATATCGTATATTACTCTATTAAAGCTGCGTAACATCT